TCTCTCGCAAATAAATAAAATCTTAAAAAAAAAAAAAAAAAAGAGTCCATCGATCTGGTCGATCTGGTCGATCTGATCACTTTGCACCAGGCGCCTGTCAGGAGGGGGGTGGCGGATACAGCAGGGGGCAGGACAGACCTCTGGTCCCTGCCCCCAGGATCCTTAAGGGAGAAAACTTTAAGCTACTAATTTCAGTTGTTTAATTACAATTGTGATAAATTCTAGGGAGGAGAACTGATGAGGGGGTAGGGGATCACATAGTGAGGGACTTGACTGAATCCCCAGGTCTCATTCCTCCCACACCCACTCCCCCAGCTGCCTCCTCCCTGTACCTAACACTGCAGCAGAGCTTAACGGCTTTCCACAATATTTACTGCCCTGCACTGTTGACAGCCCTAATGGATTCTGCAGATTAAATAATCCCAGCCCAGCCTTGAGCCATACCAGGATTGGCCCATTAAACAATGGCAGAAGCCGCCCCCGTCCTGGTTCTAATTCAATAATTTACTGTAAATCGCCTACCATTTCCTTCTTCCATTCTTGTTAGCCAAACGAAGGTGAGCAAGGGCTGCCTCTAAGAGGAGGCAGGAGCAGAAATGAGCTGTCCGAATGAACAGTTGTCACAGCGGGCATTGAATTAAATCAGAGACACCTAAGGCTGCAGGTCTGTCTTGTAAACTAGCCTCTCCTGGTGGGGGAGGCATTGCCGAGAGCCTCCAGGGTGAGATTTCCAATGAGTTAGGAAGGGCCTTGGGCAGGGTTGGTGGTGGGGACGGAAGTGATGGAGTTTCCTCTTTCTTGCTCACTCCTGCCTGTGTCCTTTCCACCTCTCTCAGGGGCAAGGCAGCATCTCTGCCCTGAGATACATTTCTCAACTCCTCCTTCCACAAGGAAGAACACTTCCTCTTTGAGGCTACCATGTGCCAAGCACATGATCCCTTTCCTTTCCTTTTTTTCTTTCAATCTGTTAGGGGCTTTTGCAAGTGATCACATTTAATCCTTATGAAGCTCTTAGAAGGCAGGTATAATTGGGAGAACCACATTCATGGGAGGTTCATGATTTTCTCAAGGTCATGCACCAATCTGGTACAGAGTCAGGATTTGAATCCAGATCTGACAGACCCCAAAATTCAAGTTCTTTTTGTGACACCATTGAGGACGGACAGTGGGCAGCAAAGGGATTACCTTGAACCCATTTTCTGACATGCTGTATAGTTTTGGAGGCATTGTTCTTGGAACCTCTGCTCACTAGGATGAATCCAGCCTAGGGCTCAGGGGAGGTGGCTGCCGGTGCAGCAGGCTGTGGGGGCTTCTCTGAGGGCTGCACGCTTGAAACAGGTTTCTCCGTAAAGCTAGTGGTACGTTAGGCTTTAGCTGGGACTGTGGTTTCCTCATCCCCTGATTCCTTTAGGGCCCACAGCTGTCCCCATGACTCTCACAGAAGCAACCAAGAAATGAGGAACCGAAGAGACATGCCCACTGTCTGTGCCCTCCTTCCTGCCACCATTTGAGTGCCTTTGCTGGCAATCTGAAATGAATGTTGGCCATTCATTTTTCCAAGGACTGTTCTTCTGTCCTCTGGCAGTGTCGCGGAGGACCGGCACCAGACGAGGCTGGAGGACTCCCTGTCTGGGAGGTGGGAGCCTCAGGAGGCACCAGGGAGAAGGAGGAGAGTTGGAGGGCTGTGACAGCTGGGGGCTGGGTGTGGTTGCCACCGTGGAAGGGAGTCGGGCTCCCTGTTAGCAAACGAAGGACCTGTGTCATCCCCTCCATGTGCTCCAGCACCTCCCCTCAAAATCCTAAAGCCGGGATCCTCGTCCTCTATCACCGACAGCTGTGTGATCCTGAGCAACGCACACACCTCCACTGAATTTCAGAGTCTCGTCAGTGATGGGGATGATGATAGTATTAAATGAGTTAATACTAGATGAGGCATTTAGAACAGTGCTTGGCTCACAGTACACACTCAATAAATATTAGCCATTATTATTATTAGATACATTTTATAAATATCAGCTGGGTTAAACTCTTGGTACTGCCTGTCTCACCTTCCAGATGTTCTCTCTTTCCGGTTCCTTATCCCCAGTGCATATGAACTGTGGTTCCTCTGAGAGCTAATCTGGTTCACAGTCCTGGCTCTGACCACGCAGGTCATCGTGTAGGACCCTGGGCCCAGGCCCACATTGAGCAAGATGTGCTTTCAGGCATGAAGGAGTCTTGTCCCACTGGAGGAAAGAGGCAGGCATAACTAATACAGTCGGTAAATAGGGCAGTGATGCAAATGCAGCCCAGATGTCCCCAAGAGGCTCCCCCAGCCCCTGGGAAAACCTGCAATCACAGGGACCAAGGTTTTGTTTCCTGGATGGCCCCACTGGCACAACCACTGTGGGGCCATGGGTGAAACGGATGAACAAGGACATCTCACCAGGGCATTTTAACGAAATCAAGATAAAATCAAGGTTTATCGTCGCATTCCCCTCTGCTAGGAGCCCAGTGGTCCCTAATGAAAAGGAAGCAGATTGTCTGGGCCCTGATTTGTTCCTCCTGTGCTCTGGCTGGCTTCTGTCTGAGGGGCTCACAGATCAGCAATTGGGAATCTGTTCTAGAATTTTATGGTCACTGAGCTATGTTTCTAGAATCTACCTCTTAGAAATTCAGATCATTCTCTTACATCCAGGTTTCTGCTCGTGCAGCTCCCCCTTTGTCTGGGTGCATCAGATACAACTTGATCAGATCCAAAGTTCCCCCAGTACCAAAGACATGCTTCATCTCCTCACAGAACCCTAACTGGATCACCCTTTGAAGGGTCTTGGAGCTTCCTTACCGTCTCCGTGTCCTTGCCTATCTTAGCTTGAATTCCCTCTTCGCTGTTTGTATGCTGCACCCTTTTCTTCTTGATGATGGAGATGGAGGTAAAACAAGATCGGCTTGCTCACTGCTGTCTGATGACATCATAGCATTCACTCTGAGAAGTTGGTATTTTCCTTTGGGGTTCTTTAGTCAAGCACGTCAGAAGGGGAACAGTTATCTCCTTTTGTTGTTTCTAGCTTTTTCTTTTGTGCCATCCTTTTCAGGCTGCTGACTCATTGGGTTCCAAAAATCTACTTTTTCAATCACAATCATAACACTAGAAATAACAATGGCGATACTGCTGATGTTGATGGGCACTCGTCGAGCATCATCAAAGCTTTCTATGCTTTGTCTCATTTTCTGCATCTCCCTCAGCAGAGCTGACCACAGGGTTGAGTGCACAGAGAACTTTCAGGGCATGAGACTAACAAAGGCTGCTATTTACTGCGCTCTCACCCTGGCCTGACACTTACACAGCCCTAATCTCAGGTCATTGCTGTCATAGTCCCATACAATAGATAGTATTATTCTCAGTTACAGAAAAAGAATTAGGGCTCAGCATAAAGGTATTAAAAATGTATTCCACTCAGCCTTTCAACAGACACATAGAGTGCTGGCTACATGGCTGGCCCTTGGCTTATGGGGTTCATAGGGTGGTGGGACCCACAGACCAAGAAACAGACATTGGGAGCGAGTCTCTGGAATTACATAATGCCCTAGTTTATTCTGAGTTCCTGGCTCCCATACTTTCCAGATCGACTCTCTTCTTCTTTATTCCAAGCATCATAAAGGGTACTTTATGTCCAGCGATATCACTGTTAATTAAAGTCCTCCTCCGTTCTTTTCTCGTAAGGGTCATTTGTACTCATGGAGTAAGAGTTTAATTTTTCTGGACTTATCTTACCGTTCTTAGCTGTCTCTTCCCACAAGCTCATACTTGTGTTTTCTCGGAAAGTCTTGAAATCTGCTGTCCCCCAGCTCAGGGCATGCCAGGTGATGGCCAAACCTCTCCTGTGTTACTCTACCCCAGCAAAAGCAACAGAATCTCCCTTTTCCTCGGGGAGGGCTTCCTCACTGTCTTGGAGAAGGAGAAGGCAGAGAGGTGGGAACAAGGAAGGGACAGGTGACAGGAGGAGTCAAACAGGTGGAAGGATACTTTTGTCTTGGTCCAACCTGTGAGACACAGGCAAGTCAGGTGGGTCCTCAGTGCTGGGATTGGAGGCCCCTAGAGCCCGGTTTACCTTTATCAGTTAGGCTGCTTTTGGCTGTCCACTAACAAAACCTTCTCTTTCAACAACAAGAACTTTCTTATCTTACATAATAGGTAGGCCTAGGGATGGACCGGACTCCAGGGTTCATTGATTCAGTGGCTTGGGGATCAAGGACCCAGATTTATTGTTCTCTGTGTGCCAGCTTTATTCTCCCAGCTGGGTCCTCTCTTGATTGCAAGATAGCTCTAGCAGCAATGAATTGACATGCTTCCTTGCTCAGGTCCAAGGGGAGAGATACTGTCTCCTTGTGGTTTGCAGTTAGGAGAAAGAAAACTTTTTCTGGAAGCAGTCCTGTCATGGCTCATTGGTCCGAATTGAGTCCCATGACTATTCCTGAACCAGTTACTAGCAGTTTGGGTGAAATTATATCATCTGAAGTGGAATGGATTTGGGGAAGCAACCACCATGCTCATTATAGAGTCACATTTCCCAGGCATAATCAAAAAGTGAATAACCCAGGGTTGTGATGGTTATGGAGAATTAGCATGTAGAGTTTCCAGATTTAGCAAATAATACATGATGCCCATAAATGTGAATTTCAGATAAGACATAGATACTTTTTAAGTATAAGTACATCCCATGCAATATTTGCTGGTCTGTGTGTCCCAACATTTGGTACAAAGCGAGATGGGTCAGGCAAATGTTTGATAATGGGAGATAAAAGATTGTAGGGATTCCTAGTGAGCTTGGGACGTAGGACTAAGTCCTACACTACTTGTGTGAGGTTAGTGAAGTCTAAACTTTTTCAAAAAGAAGAGGGTGCTGGGGCCTTTCCTCCATACCTGCCTTGCTCCTTGTGGCCAGGAACTGGGAGAAAAAGTGATTGTACCTCTTCTCTCAGGGCATCCGTTGACCCGGTCCTGCCCTCTCTTTTTCCAGGGTCACGACCGCTGCGGGCAGGCTTTGCTGCAGATTGGGATCAACATGATGGCGTTGCCTGGAGGCCACCACCTGGATGCCATCCCTCTGTCGGGTCAGCGGTAAGTCCGTCTCTTAGGGCCAGGCCTGCTCCATTTGGCCTCTGGCTGAGGCCCAGCTCCAGGATCTTGAAGTTGCTGGTGGTCCCACCTCTCCGTGCACTGTCATGGAGAGGAAGCTTAAGGCAAAGTATTGGGGATGCCATGTTGACTCAGCAAATACTGACAGAACTGGGCCCTGAGACATGGAGGAATCAGGCATGTCCAGTCCCCCAAGGAGCTGGGGTCTAAGGTGCAGGCAGACAATGAAACAAATAATTGAATGGGGTGTTCTGCTAAGATAGGGGACCCCAGGGGAGGCTCCCGATCCCACATGGGCCAGGAGGCTGGAGCCTTTGGGGGCCCTTGGGGTTATGGAAGGCTCTCTCTGAGCTTTTTGAAAGGACAGTCTACCCTTAGGTGTCTTCTCCTTCTCCCAGGGCACCAGGGAGGGAACGGAGCACAGAGCTGATGCTAGGGGATATTTATTGCCCTGAGTTAGTTGGGTTGGGGGAGAGAGGTGGGGAGGAGGAGCCAGGAATACACTGAGCAGAAGTTGAAGCCCAGATGATGAGGTGAGAAGGAGAGATGGGGCCCCAGAGGTGACTTCACATGGCTGAAAGCCGTGGGGACCTGGCTGGTCCTGGAGGCCAGAACCAGAACCAAAGGGTAAAGTACCAGGGCAGTGAATCCGTGGTGACCAGCTGTCCTGGTTGCCCCAGGACTGTCCTGATTTTGGCCCTGAAAGTTGTGACTTTGAAAATGCCTCAGTCCTGGGCAAACCAGACTCTTTGGTCACTCTCATGTAGGTTTGATCTATGGAAGAGCTGTGTAATCGAGTGCTCAGGGCTTCTGCCTTGCTTTTTTTTTTTTTTTTTTCCTGAGACATCTTGATGGGGCCATTTTGAGGCAACAGAATCCAAGTAGCCCTTGCAAGACTGTTAAGTCATTGTTTTGTTTTGTATGTTTTGTTTTACATATTACAGGCATCACTGACATCTTACCTTTATTCTATCCTTAACCACCTGTCCACCTGAATTATCACATCGTTCATTTCTATATTGTTTGGGTTTTGAGTATATTTCTAAGTGTATGTTGCTTTTAAAATCAGAAAAGATGTTAACTATTTGCTAAAAGTCTACTAGTACTGGGTTAACCTTTATGAGGTTATACCCCTCTGGGACTCTGCTCCCCCAAAGTCATCATTATAACAAGGTTTATGGGTATGACATACAGTTCGTGCATGCCATTTTAGAATGGGAAACACTGTTAGAGATGTAACTAGGAATTTTCTGTGCAGCCTGATGCTGAGAATAAGGGATCATATGGGGGCCCAAATATCTTTCCACACAGTGTGTCTTAGGCAGAGCTCAGAGATGGTGAGAGGCAGACCCGTCAGGATCGACATGTGTTGGAAGAGCTGAAGGCCTTTCATGGGGTGAGCAATGGTCATCAGCTTTGAACTCATGATAGCCTGGTTTCGAAGGCAGGTTCTACCTCCTACTAGCAGTGTGGCCTTGTGGAAGTTCTCACACCCTGTCAGCCCCTCAGTTCCCTCACGTATAAAACAGGGATGAAAAGAGTACCTACTTCATTGGGTTCATGTGTGAACGGAAGGACTTAGTGTGTATGAAGGGTCTGTCATGCAGGGAAAGCTACATAGGGGGCGCTCTTGTTTATCAAGTGCCTGCTGCATGGCAGAGGTCCACTGTGGCTCTTCATGAAGGTGATCTCAGGGCAGTCTTCTAAGAAATCCCTTCCCGGCCCCCTTCTGGCCAGTGACCTCATTGAGAAAATAAGAAATCGCCAACGGACACTCCCAGCAGCTTAATATTTTAAGCCAGGGGAAAGCGGAGCTGTTCTAGATGAAGTGGAATCGTAGTCTTCCTGGCTCCTGTCCAGACCGGGCAGTAGGTCGGTACCTCCGTACCAGATGGGCAGTGTGTTGGTTCAGAAGCGCCTGGGGAGATTCCCAGGTGCAAATTGAAACCAGCCGCTGTAAGCAGAGGGCAGGGAGAGACCAAAGAAACAGGTGGGCCACTCCAGACTGGTGGGCAGCAGGTTAAACAGACAAGGGAACTTACATATGGGGCTTGTCTTGAGTGGCAGCAAGATATGTGGATTCCACACCTGCCACCAAATCTTAAAAGTTTATACGGAGGCCTTAAGTGGGTTCAGTCATGTATACCGTCAAGATGGTCTCAGCATCCCATCACTATCTCAAGGTTGTGTCCCCTGGGGCCACCTCTGGGAGTGGGGAAGGCAAGTGGAATGCACATTCCAAGGACAGGGTTGTGGGGGAAGCCTCTGATGGCTGGAGTCCTGCGCATGGGTCAACTGGTGGCCATGTCCTTTCGATGACCTCACCCAACACAATAGGGCTTTGGGACACCTCCTCAGAGCCTCATGGGTCCTGGGATGGTCAGACCAGCGCCTGTGCTGGGGGTGGGGCAGCTGCGGTCACAGGGCAGTTTAGGACAGTGGTTAGGGGTCAGGACGGCCTCAGCTTAATTCTTGGTTCTGCTGCTTATTAGTTGTGACCTTGGGCTTTAGTTTCTTCATGTGAAAAATTCTTCACCCCCATCTGTGAAATGGGGATATTTATACTTACATCATTGGGTTGTAATGAGAATTTCACATAATATGTATAAAGCACCTGCCTGCACACAGGAAACACTCCATCAATGTTAAACTCTCCAGATGAGGACTGCATCCCTGGGGTAGAGAATTGGGGCAAAGGTAGATCAGGCCCTGGCACCCTTTCTGCCTTGGGGAACCACACACACACTCTCTCTCTCTCCCACTTCCAATCTCCTCAGAAGTTTTAAGGATACAAGGAAGTTAAATTACATGGCAATGATTTAGAAATTGGATTAGTATTCTTTTGGAGGCAGACTAGGGTTTCTAATTGATATCGTACACACATACCTTGGGAGGAAAACCTTGGACTAACGTGACCCCAAGAGTTCTGGCTGGCCACAAAGCTGCAATCTGAGAAGAGGTTTGCTTAGAATGTCTTCAGCCCTAAAGTTCTGATAGGGCAGGGTGGGAAGCAGAGAGAAGGTGCTAGTTCCTTTAATATATTCAGAGCCTGGCCTGGCGAGAATATTGGGGGAATGCAATCCCTGGGCCTACCAGCCTATTAATTGTGTGTGTTCTGGGGACAGATACATGAACCATGTTCACGAAGAAGGCTTATGTGTATTCACAGGATGTCAGAGGGGTTAATTTATCCAGTGCAATGCTGCACTGTGGACAGATAATAGCAGCTACCTCTTCTCTCCTCTTGTTTCAAGCTCTAGAGGCCTCTAGAGTGAGGAATAACACCATGGTTATTGTCCCCACATAAATAATTAATGCCGGATAATTGACTTCCCTCTGCTGTGTTCTGCTGAAACTGAATTTCACTCTGAAGTGCCATTGTTCACTTCAATATGCAAAATAAATAAACACTGTCAAGTTGTGTGGGATCAGCCAGCAGCTTGGGTGACTCATATGTGTTAGGCCTTTGGTATTTGAGACCCTTATGAATAAATAGCATCAAAAAAGACATATCTAGGTGCGGGCTCTGGGGAGAGAGTAGAGGGCAGGGCACCCTGGCGTCCCAGGTCAGGGGCTGGGATCCCATGCTGAATTGGCATGGGTGATAAGAGAGGGAGTGTTAGGGTTCTCAACTCCAACTTCATCTGAATCTCCGGGAAAGCTTTCAGATTTAAAAATAATAAATAAGCCAAAGAACAAAACCCTACTCTTGGAAGCATTAATGCAGATCTAAGGGGTTGAAAGCATATAGGCCTTGGAATCAGACTTGGACTCAAGTCCCAACGCTACTCCCAACCGGCTGTGTGACCTTGGCTCCCACTGAACCTGCCTGTCAGATGGCATTCTGTGTGCGGGTTATTATCGCTCTTTTGCAAATGATGGGTCACAGGTTGGGTTCTCTGGGAAGCAGCCTTTGGGATGGAGTTGAGAGTTCAGGGTGGTTATTAGGGATTGCCTTTGGGGCCAGCACCTGGGGAAGGGAGAGGACAGAAGCAGGACTGGGGGAGGGAGAAGATGAGCTGAATGACTTCAGCTACCCTCACACGGAGCTTTGGAATCACAGTTTTGTTCATTGGCCAGGGTGGCCAGGGCCTTCATTCACATCCCACTTGATATGTCTTTCAAGTGGGCAGCTGTGGGCAGGGCATGACCTTAGGCGAGGTGGCTCTGAGACAGTCTGAGGGCCTGACGGCTGGAGGTTCTTAGCTAATGATACTCCCAGCAGCTGGAGGCAACAAGTCCTTCTTTAAAGGGGAATCTGAGCAGCACAAACATCTGCCCCATGAGGAAACTGAGGCTTGCCCAAGGTCAGAGCTTATAAGGAGCAGAGCTTGGATAGATGTTTCCAAATGATGCTTGAGCCTGAGTGCTGGCCAATACTCTATCCAGTCTCTTTTCCACAGTGTTCTTGGGGCCATCACACAAACAAACCATTCAGTCATTCATTCAGGTAGTTGTTTACTCATTAGCCTTCCACAAAATTTTTCTACCTGTATGTCTTGAGTGCAGATCATGTGCCTTGTGTGATGCTTGTGTGCTTAAGGACATGTTGGTGACCAAAATGGACATGGTCCCTTCCCTCGTGGGACTCACTGATTTATCTCTTGACCTGATCAGGCCTGCATGTATACGAGCATACAACTCAGGTCTTTGGTTTGGGATCGCTCACTGTCAGTGACTCACTTTCTCACCTGCTTTCTGTTCAGCCCGAAGTCTGAGATGAGTTGGGATGGGTGCTGCTGCAGTTAATGGCAGGCGGCCTCCCGGATGGCCTGGCCTGCTGGCAAGGAGCCGTCCAGCTTCTGAGCCACTGGGGGCCACCACAGGCCAGCCTGTCTCCAAGTAGATAATGGCTTGCATGTGTGCACCCCTGGTCTGTGGCTAGTTTTCTGTTGCTGGCCTGTTTTCTATGCCTGCGGTGAAATGTGCAGACTGCAATTGTCAATGGGATAATTGGATATTTTTTCTCTTGTTTAAACAGA